AATTGTGCTTTACATTCCAAATGGACTCTCAGCTAAAACGTGAACGCGTCATTACAGTGAAATGGAAAATTGAAATCAACCAACTACACATACAACTAAAGCAATAGTACAACACGGAAAATTATTTAATACACATAAAAAATGTGGAATTGAAATACATAAGGGATAATACCTAATTGTTGGACCACCATTTATTGCAGATACGATTTATCATGGTTAGAATTATAAGGGTTAATTTGGCAAATTTTTCCATCCTAATAAGAACAATTAAGTGGAATCTGAAGCAAGATAATTTGTTTTTATTTCTATACCCTTAGCCATATTTTCACAGAAATTAATTTACCATATGTAACAAGCAATCCTAATATTTTTATTAATGTTAGATCAGGTACAAAAATGGGCAATATCGGCATCAAAGGACCACAATTGTAAAAAAAAAATGAAATAACAGTCCTATTCTCTTCAAATTTCACAAACACAATTTGCGAAACATGTCAGCGATTCTTTTCAAAACTTGGTATATATACATGTTTCACTCAGCCAAAAGTTAAAACTTCGATTAATTACAGGGTGAGATGAAAAAACTGCAACCAACTTCAGACTGCTGTCATTTCTAAGACACTCGTCCGACAGCTGTTCAAATTATTCCAGTGACAGCTCATTAAATTGTTTACAAGCGTACAAAAGCATTTTGGTGAGAATTTTCCAGAAAAAAGTTATTGGTGATGGAATTGAAGCGTGATTTCTTTATATTTGGCTGGAAAACTGTAAGTGGCTATCGTTAGAGTACTTCAGCATTTAAATGTGAATAAATCTTTTGTGTCTCGTACCATCGCTCGTTACCGTGGTACTGGTAGCGTAGCACGATGTCAAGGAAGTGGACGGAAAAAAACAGCAACATCAGCAGAAATGGTTCGAAAAGTAAAGGAGCGACTTGATCGAAACCCGCGTCGCAGTGGCCGAAAAATGGCTCGTGAGTTGAACATATCCCAATATTCCATTCGGCAAATGTTGAAAGTGCAAAAGAAAGTGCAAGAACTTACACCGCAACAGAGAGAAAATAGACTGAAAAGAGCTAAAGAGTTGCTTCGCTTGGCCGAAAATTGTGAACTGCCAAATTTGGTTTTCTCCGATGAGAAAACATTCGTTGTCCATCAGTTTGAAAACAAACAAAATGATCGTGTTTACTTGCCAAAAAATTAGCTGCACCGTTTGGCCGCAGACCTTGGACATTCCAACAGGACTCAGCACGAGCCACCCAAGAATGGTTACAAAATAAGGTTCCTCGTTTCATTTTCAGCGCACAATGGCCACCAAAAGCTCGGGATACCAATCCGTTGGACTATTGTGTCTGGAGTATTATGGAAAGCAAGGTTGGCACTAAAAAATACCAAAGTGTCGATCACCTCAAGCAAGCGCTTCGCCGGGAATGGGCCAAAATACCGCAGACAATACAATATTCGGGCAGCATGTGACGGTTTCATTGGTCGTTTGAAGGCCATAATTCGTGACAAAGGTGACCAATTCGAACAAATCTAAACTTATTCTAAAATTTGATGCTATTTCCGACATTTTCAATAACATTTAAAAAAAAATGGAAAAATTATGGCGTTTGACTTTGTTGCAGTTTTTTAATCACCTTGTATACATGTTTCACTCAGCCAAAGTTAAAACTTTGATTAATTATTCGAATAAAGTTAGAAATAATTTTTCGAATTTCTTTAAATTTTGCACATCCCAATATTTTTTTTTATTAATATTATTGAAGTGAAATACTTCGGAACTCTATCTCTCATACATTTCAACATTTTCAAAGAATTAACACATATATCGTATAAAGTGAAGAAAGTAGTCGATGTGGCCCGAATCTGGCACGTTTTAGTATTTATATCAGATGTTGGCTCAATCCTTTGGAACATGGGTCAACAGTTTGAATGATCATAACACAGGTCAAACGATTTTTAAATAAACGGATATTGACAAAAACGACTGATACTTTTTAACTTGTAACCATGGTACAACAAGGAGGTAGAACAGCTTCGTAAAAGTACAGAAATAAACCCCTGAGGCAATGCCCGCTTTCTGTCAGAATTCGTTTATTCCAATCATTGATTTCTAAAATATTTTGTTTTTATTTTTCAAAAAGTAAATACATACACAAAATTGGCAGAAGTCGGACACACTTAGAACACTATTTGCCTTCCAACACTATTTTCTAAGGTTATTTTAAGTTTGATTCACGAAAAAAGTTTTTTTTTAACACTTTATCTTATCTAGATGACCTAGCTTTATCTAGATATGCGGGTCCGTCCGTACGCTCATGTTAAATTGAACATGCCGTCAGGGTCAACATGGAAGTCTATAACTTTCGGAGATGATCACAAACTTTTTGGAGATTGAAATTATAGACCACTCTACGTAGAACTTTATGTGGCATTAGAGTTTACGGCAAAGTTTAGCCATTTTGAATTAAATTAAACTATAAAATTTTTACTTTATTGTAATGATTGTTTCTCAGTGACGATACTAAAGTGGATGCTAATGAAAAATACAAAATTTTTCCAAACATATCATCTAAATATATAAAAGAATATTGTGTTAGTTACTACGCTTATAACTCAAGAACCGCTGAACTGATTTTAATGATTTAAACAAATTCGGAATTGTCTCTTGGCGGAAAAAAATATATTCCAAAAAAATCGCGTAAAAATGTAAGATTTCAAATTTTTTATTTTGTACAATAGTACAATAGATGTACAATAGTAATGTTTTATTTTGCATAATATTTTTCCATTTTGACGAAAATTATATGGTAGCGAACCTGAATAGATGATGTCAAAATAATTTAACGCGGTCAAACCAAAACCAAATATCAAATTTCATAATAATAGAAAGGACCAAACTTCGTAAGGACCTTTAAAATTTTTCTGTAAAAAAACAGCGAAAAAGTACATTTTTTTTCTTTATCAATTTGTTTTTCTTTTCTATCAATATTATATAATGTACGATTTCTTTTCAATTTGAGTATTAAATTGAATCGTTTTTTGTGAACAAATTAAAGTATGATTTCCACCATATCAAAGAATGTTATATTAGTTAATATACTTATAACTCAAGAACGGCTTGACGGATTTTGACAATTCATACAATTTTGGAATGGTATCTTGGCAAAAAATGCGTAAAAAATATTTTTGGTGTAAAACTTTTTCAATTTAGCAAACTATATAGAAGTGTACATTTTTTATTGTTTTGAATTCTGAATGAATAATATCAAAAATGAAATAGTGCGCAATTCGGTGTTAAGTGGCGATCTTTCATGTCTAAAATTGGAATTTAGCTTGCAACGCCAGGACCTACATCGTGCTTCAGCTGAAAAATGCGAACACATTTAAACAAATGACCAAGCACTATTGGGCTCATTTCAAAACGTGGACCTTCTTCTTCCACATGACAATAATTCGTCCCATGAGAACTCAAAATGCAAAATTCATTGGGACTGCAATCAGTGAAATACCGAATATAAAGGGCGCAAAATAGAAGTAAGAAAAGGATTTCTATCCTTTCAGAAATTCTTCCTAAACTTTCAGATACCTTCAATCGCTTTGCAGGTCATGATATGGGTCATAACCCCCGGATAAAGGACCAACCCGATTTCAAGTATATTTTACATATTAACGATATTTTCATACTACTTTCAGCAAATGTTGGTAATTTGGGAAGAACCCATCCTTACAAAAACTGATCACGTTTTGTATAACCATCATATGATTTAAGATATTTTCGGGGTCTTTGCCACTTTTTTCATTTTTTTGGCCCTTATTTGGCATTTTTGTTTCTAAGGGGGTAGAAAACCTCTTCACATACAATTTTCAATTTTCGGACTAGGGCCCATCTTTAAATCTGGGCTTTATGGGGTCTCCAACGCACAATTTAAATTACAAATTTATTAATTCCATTCTTACGGTAATAGGTGTAAAAAAGTAGTTATCTTTGACTACTATGAAATCATTCTGCCCTAATTATGAGGTGGACAAAACTAAACGGGGAAATAAAAATTACAGCTAATTTGAATGGTTTGATTTCTTTTCCAGATATGTCAAAAATGCAGCTAAATAATGTGCACTACAATACATTTAAATGAAACTCAGGCAAAAGTTTGTGAACAAATATTTTTGGTCAGCAAAAGCCATGAATAATTCAGTTCAACAGAAATCAGGTATATTTTGAAAAATTTCGTAGAAAAATACGTTTTTTATATAAAAAGGTCTTACTTTGAAATAATTTTAGAGAACACAAACAAAACTTGCCCTTCTAAAGCCAAATAGATGTACCTTTTAGAAAAAATAACTAATGGCAAAAATTAAAATTTCTGCCCACACAATTCTTGCCCTGACATTCCTACTTTTTTGTCACTTGCCTTTATGAAATAATTAAAACCAATTTGTTTATTTTGTTATTAATTTTATAATGTTGTATTTTGTTTTGTTCCTGATACACGGGAAATCACTATTTTGACTGGTTTCAACAAATGTGGGAACGTTGATAGCTTTAAATATATTTTGGACTACGTCTATCAGCTTTTTTCATAACAACAAAAAGCTTGTTTAGCTTAATTTTTTTGTCCTTCTTCAGATATTTTCAAGACATTTTTTGGAGGTATTTATCTATTTCCCATTAATATTTTTTATTTGTATTAAAAAAATGAAGATACATTACAAAAATATTAATAAATACTTGCAATGAAATTCTCTTTAAGTACATCGAGAACCCAAAACATTTTGAGCAGTCCTGTCAAAACTAAATAAAAACCGAGAAACCCCTTTTAAACATTAAATGTAAAAGAAGTACATTTTTGGGATTATGAATTCTTTTCAAAATCGTAGTCACTTCTGTTATTATAAAATGGGTAAGTTAACCATTTAATGTGTTATCGCTTTATTGTCTTTATAAGTTTTTAATATAGACGATGTAAATTGGTTTAAAAAGTAATTTTTACTCACCTTTCTGAAATTTATTTCACTAATTGAATTTTAAAAAAACCGTATTTTTCACTTGAATATATCTCTAATATATCTTTTCTTATCTTCTCACAACTTTTTTTTATAAAATAATGGCCACAAAATTGTTAAAATTTCTTTCAGCTTTACTTTTTTCAATATTTCACAGAGTTTTGATTTCAACACAATTCTAATTCAAACTCCAACGGAAAAGGTGTACCAGTATGCGTGTGTAATCAGTTGTAGCTGATTCGAAGTGCAGCGCTTTAAATCTGAAGCAACAGTGATACTATTCGGCCGCAAGATGACAGATTTATATGCCACACTTGGAAGTTGGATGCTATGAATCTCCACCAACTAACCAAGTTAACCAACCACATGTTGTTTATCAGACACACGCACACATTGGCCAACGTTCTACCACATAATAACACGAACTGGCATTGTGATATATGCCAATCGTTTAGTGGTGAGTTTGTGCGGCCAAATTTTGCGTCAACGAAGGCAAATGGCAGTAGTGCACAGTGGCTGGATTGTTGAATAAATTGGAATATGTTTGTCAAGCAAAGACCTTTAGTTAGGATTTTTAGAGAGATTTAGAGAAGTTTTAAGATTTTAAGTATATTTTTAATAGAAATTGACTGAGATTTGACATCTAGTGTTCTTAATGAATACCCGATGTCCTACACAAAAATGTTAATATGTATCCACAATTTCATATAGCTCCCATAGGCCCTACTCCCGATTTTACTCTTTGGAGGATTTTTGCCATTTTTGAGATAGAGTAACAAATTGTTGAGCCAAAAATGTTAAATATTGAACATGCTTTTGATGTGGCTATATATTGATAGTGAACATGCTTTTGATATAGCTCCCATAGAACCCTACTCCCGATTTGAGGGATTTTCTAGATTTTGGCAAAAAGTACAACTTTATCTCTTTTAAGAGTATGCTGCGAAAAAATACTAAAAAAAGGGAGGAACTCTAATCGATCGAACAAAAAAAAATTAAGAAGAAGAATAAAAGATAATTCCGTCCTATTTGAAAAGATGAGAACTCGTACTCAGCCGACCTATAATCCAATACGTAGATTAATGAGGCACAAAATCATAGAGCAACTATATGAAAAAACATTAAAATGTAAAGTATAAATAAAGCAAATATTAAAAATTTATTAAGATAGAAAAAATATACCCAGAAGACCTGGAATTAACCTAATCTTTTAACTCGATGTTGAATATAAATTGCTCTAACATCTATAACGGCTGAAATTGTTTATGGGTAAGGAGATGATCGCAAAAATATTAGCCTATTGTTTTTGAAGATGTTCTTAATATGATTAGGGGTTGAAAGGGACCAAAAACTGAACATTTTTTTCCGTCTATCTGTCGGTCTGAAAGCACTCTGTCTTTCGAACTGGATAAAATGTTACTCAGATGGATGTTAGGTCTAAATAGGTCCACATTTTGGTATAGTCCCATATAACAGTAACGAAAAATTTATGTTTTTTTGGCAGCAGGTGTTCCCATTGTGTAGGAAACATCCTTGCATAGAACTAAGTCTAAGTTTTGGTATAGACCCCATATAACTGTACCTCCATATATTCGGTGTCACACATTTCTCGGGAAATGTTTCAAATTTGGAATTTTAAATTCCAAATGGGTACTACACCCTATGACATAAAATTGCTTATGCAGGTCCAAGTCTTCGTGTAGCGCGTACAATGGTACCTCTCTCAGTATTTTTATGATTTTAGCGACTTTATTCACCGGAAATTGTTTCTAGTTTCGTATTTGAATATCTTAATGGCATATAGCAAAAATTGCATAGACAGGTCCATGCCTTCGTATAGGCCCTAACACAACGCTAACTCCCTATATTCGGCATTTTAATAATTTTAGCAATATTTTTCAACGAATTTTTTTCCGAAAATTTGCAAATCCGTTTCAAATAGTAGAGGGTATAAAAAGTTTGGCCCTGCCGAACTTACTTCTTTTATACTTGTTTTTGTTTGAAATGACTAAATTGTAATTTTCCATTTTGAAAATTTGCAAATTCTCTTAAAATAATTGAGTATATTCAAATTTCGGTCCGGCCGAACTTACTGCTTTTATACTTGTTTTTGTTTGAAATGGCAAAAAGGCAATTTTACTAATTTTCCATTTGCAGGCAAAGGTCCCATAAAAAACCAAATAAAAAGAATGTCTCTAAAAGTTTTTGCTTTACAAATCATTCACTGTGCGAAACTGTAGGTTGTGGAGACTTATTACATTGTATATGCCATGGCGCTGCTATGTGGTAAAAATGCTTCATTTTGTTTTGTATGTAATTTCAGACTCGAAATGCACTCTTATATTAAACGTATTGAATGTTGTTCCTTTGAGAATAATTCTTTCAGATTATGACAGGTTTTTTGCGATTTATATTTAGTAAATTATAACCGTTACATTATTTTTGAATTCTCTATTCAACATTTCTTCAACGGAAGTGTAGACTTTAGACGCCAAATACGACGATTTGTAACGAAGCATAAACACGAAGTATCTCCATGGAGTTTGCGCTTTTGCAGTTTGCATGAAGTCAACAATTTGATTCTATACATGAGACAATACAAATACCGATTTGCTCTGACAACCGACTAGTCATTCGGCGGCGGCAGCTTCTGTTAGATGTTATCTTGAAAATATGCGTGGAATTTGCAACATTTCCCTGTGGATGTGTCACAATGAGTTGACTGTTAATTGATAATGAAACACTATCTTTGTTAATTTGATTAAAATAATATCAATTCATCATGATTATGATTATCGAAATACATATTCAGCAAATGTACGAATTAATTTCCAGGAAACGATAATTTAACGTTTGATAGAAATCAGTAAAAGCATGTCGATTTCCCGCAACATTGATCGAAAATATTTCAATATATTTCGCCCCACACATCATAAAGGTAGGTGGGCGATACAAATATACGGTTCAAGAGATCACAATGAAACTAAAATCACTCAAAGGGAACCTGTATTTTATGAAAAATAATTTGATATATTTAAGTACAGATTATAGACGTATACTTCATAAACTTAACCCAATAAATAGGGCTTTGACTTTACATTGATCAAAAAATATATACTATTAATGACAATTGATTTATCTTTGGAACATAGGCTAAAAATACTCCTTCAACCCTTATTATACAATTTGGAACATAGATTTGAGAATTTTGGCTATTCTGGCAAAATCCACCCCTATATGCTAAAATCATTAGGAAATAAATGAAGTTAACAATTAATGATGTACTATAACATCAATTCTTAAATTTTTAGCTAGAAAATTGTCTGTTTATATATAGTTCCGACATAACGGTACCTCCCTATATACGGAATTTGATGATTTTAGATACATTATTCACCGTTTGTTTCAAGTTTCGAATTTGAATATGGTAATGGCTAATGACAAACAATGCCCATGTAGGGCCACGTCGTACAGGCCCTAATATAACGGCTATATTCTATATTTTCAAGATGTTAACCGAATTTTTGGCGAATGTTATTTTTTCGAAAATTTCCAATTTTTTTCCAAATGGTGGAGGGTATTCATTTTTACTTGTTTCATTTTTACTTGTTTTTTGACTCAATGGGCAATAAAATAAGCAGCATTATCGATTTTGGAGTGAAGATAGAAATCTCTCTAGCTCCCGAACGATATGAAGTAGATTGATAAAATTGTACTCAGATGTTCTTAAGGTCTGCTGTACTTTTGGTATTGAAAATTTGCTATATTGGTCCACATACAATTATTTAACTTAGTTGGTACGATGATTCGCATAGAGGTTTTTATACCCTCCACCTTGGAAAGGAGGGTACATTAACTTTGTCATTCCATTTGCAATATCACTAAATATTCGTCGTAGACCTCTTATAGTATATATACTCATAATCAGCAAAAAACTCTGAGTCGATTTAACGATGTCCGTCTGTCAGTTGAAATCACGATACAGCCCACATTATCTGACGTAGAGCGTCAAAATTTAGCAGAACAATTTATATTGTATCTAGGATGGATGGTATTGAAAATGAGATATATCGGTCCACATTTTGGTATAGTCCCCATATAACGGTGCTACCGATGTTCGGTATTTTGATGATTTTTGCTACATTTCTTCGCGGATTTGTCTAAAAATTGGTATTTGTGTGTACTAATAGGTTCTAGCTCCGTTGTCGAAGCATTGTATGTATAGGTTCACGATATTCGATATTATGATGGTTTTTGGCCACACTTTCCCACGAATATGTCTAAAAATTATGATTTCAAATGTTTCCTTTACCCTAAAGTGTTCGGCCCGGCCGAACTTAATGTTTTTGACTTGTTACTTGTTTTTAAAGCTTTTCTATAGGTCTTAAAACTCCCCCTTTCTAATTTTCTAATATACTTCAGTTTAAATTGCCGACTACGATATGAAAGACTACGATAAGAAAAATAACATACAATTATTTTACTTAGTTGCCACGATGATTCGCGTAAAGGTTTTTTAGGTGCCGTGACATAACCCCCAGAGACATAACCCCCATTTTTTTTGGGGCTTAAGTCCGTTTCATAGCGCGTAGTTGGCGGACATAATCCCCAATGGGGGTTATGACCGATTTTATTTTTAACATTAAACGTTATAGAAAGGTAAGAGAATGTAAATAATTTTATTATTTTTCAACAAAAAATGAATATTTTAATGTAACAAAAACTAGATTTCATTAGATAATAAATTTATATATAATTTTGTTAAATATAGAACTCTTCCACATGACCAACTACTTGTTTACAAAATGGACATAATGTGAGTGTGTCGTTATTAAGATTTCTTTTATTAATTTCATCAAAACATGCCCGACAAATTTTTCCATGTTTGCATGGTTTAAGAATTATGTTCTTTTTATTTGTAAAGCAAACTTCACACAAAAGTCCATCTGCAATTTTTTCGTCCTCTTCTTCGGATTCTGATGCTTCCGAGTCCAAGTTAATGGAAATATTTTCGTTATCACGCATTATGTTGTTGCTTTTATTTGTCATACTTTGTAAAAAAATTTTAAGAGTAATTTCGCCCAAATCATACTTCGAAACTAATTCATTTATTAAATCATGTCGGTCCCTATTCCTCTTTTTTGGCCTTTCAAAAACTTCATAAAATCCATCCAGGGTTTGCGATAATTCATTAAACTGTCGACTCTCATCATGTTTCAAAACTTTGAAAAACTCCCAGAAGTTTCCATGTGTTGGAATTCGCGTCGATAAGTAGCTATTATACCCTTCTAATGCACTTG